GAACTATTCATTGTCTCGGCTGCATCCCGCCACGTTGCGGAGAAAGCGCAACATACAAATCCGATGTCTTTCTCTCTGGCTTCTCTTTGACTTCTTCTTTGCTTTTAAAGCCGCGTTGACATCACAACACAACGTCGGCTAAAGGGCAGCCCGCCGCAACACTTCACATTGACCCTGACCTTCTCAGCTCTGAAAGCGCTTAAAGAGGAGAAAAAAAAAAAACTCATGGCAAATCTAAGTGAGGCTTGCGGTCCACCCGCAACAGGAGGATCGGAGCAGTTTTCTCGCATGCACGCGCGGGACGCAACATTAGGTACACCAGCTAATCCGCTCCAAGACGTGACTGACGTTTTACTTTTGAATGGTTTAGCTTCTGAGTACATGATACAAATGCGAATGAAATCTCAACCAAGTAGGGCTTAAAGAAAACATGGTGCAGCAGCATTTAGCTGTTATGCCGCACGTAGGCTTGTCACGATAACACATTTTTCGAGATGGTATTTTTTTTCGAGCAAATCAATAAATGATAGCATCGGCATTGTTTGTTTTTTTTTTTGTTCGTTTTTAATGCGAGTGATGGTGCTCAAACAATTAGAATAATAATGACATCCTTCTGAAGTGCATTGAAAGACATTTATGACTAAAGTGAGAGAGGGCAAGATCATTATTTCAGTATTGTATTCAGACTGTGAGCCAATAGCTGCCCCCACTAGCATTGAGGCTACATGGCTATTATTAGCGCAAGCATTCACTGCTTCGGCTTATTAATAAATGAGTAAAAGAGTTGTCTGTATGTTTTTTTACTAATTTCAGTAAGATCCTTTTTTCATTTCTTTACTTTGCTTTTAAACGCCTTTAGCTCTTTTGTTTGGAGGTGCTTTTATATGTAAATGCTTTTAAACGCTCATTCCGAAGTCACGCACGGCCGCTCGACTTATTTGGTCGGAGCGAAATCCCGGTGCAATTTTCGGGCAAAATTCCTCATTGGAGAACACGCACCAGCTGGGATCCCAAACAGTATCGATCCATCCTGTCCTCGCGGAGGCCGGGCGTGACCTCAGCCGAGAAGGATCCGCCCGGAGCAGACAAAAGTGCTCATCTCCAGGAAAGACGCCGCTTGCGGTTTCCTTCGGGAGAGAGGAGACGCGAGGGGAAAGAGTGAGTCAGCCCGACAGCTTCCTTTCTTCTCGCCGCAAGAACAGTAGAGAAGCTGAGGGGTGGGAAGGGGGTTGGGCGGGGGAGGGGGAGGGGGTACCGCTTTCAGGGCGGTAGGAGAAGAGAGAGCTCGGGCGGTTTGGGAGGAGGCCACGGGGCGAGGGGCTCGTGCGCTCGTCTCAACGGGGATGATTTACATGCAACTATAAAAGGGGATGCGGAGCCAAATGAGAGCCAAGCGAGACGGGCCTCAGACAGGAAAGATTCCAGAAGATATATTCTTATTCTGCAAAATTCACCACATATTACCCGAAAAAAAAAAAAGTTTTTGTTGAATCTACTCAGTCTTATTTCGTCAAGTGTTGCATGAAATGAAATCATCTGCATCCATTTTGAAGTGGACAATACTGTACATCTGCATGTGCGCCCAGACGATATTATTTTGCGCAGGCACTTGACGAGATAAAATTGAGTAAATTCAACACATTTTTTTTTTTTCATCGTAGGACACACACGACATCAGCTTGATAACACCGATGACACTAAGTAATCGTGCGATCAGATAGGGACACGTAGAGGCAGCAGCTCTTCCTGCAAACGAGGGGCTGACTCTGATTTCTAACTCATTATCTCACGAGGGGGGTTGCTTGACTTCCGAATCCCATGGGAGACGGGGGTACGACACAGCGCTGCCGTTTCTGCTCGAGCATCGTTTTTGTACCTCCTATTTGCTGTATTATATACTCAAAGACAGGTTTAGCGTATTGTAACTTAATTGGTGTGTATAATCACCGATAAAAAACATTAGAAGAACCAGGGAGAAAGAATTCCATTATATATATATATATATATATATATATATATATAAAAAACACATCAGCAAAGTTCGGCTCCCCCTTTTTTTTTTCCCACCGCCAGATAATTCCCTTTCCTTACCTCTGTCCAAATTGGATCAGTTGGCCAACCGTACAAAGTCAAAGGCTGATCTAATGTCCGGCCGCGCCTCGAGTGACTCTATATGATGTTCCATGCTGCTCATTAGCACAGATGATTTGCAGTCTAATGCGGAGAGTGATGGTGAAGGGAGATCACTACAGTCAGGGTACCCCCCAAACAGGTAACCTCAGCGCGCTCATTACCTCATTAGCTTGTTAGCTCGGGACAAACGCCAGCCAACATCCTCCTTCAACTTGGGCGGCCAAATGAGTGCCATTAGAAGGGCCGCCGTCTTGCCGTCTTTTCTTTTGATGAAAGAAAACAGGCAGCTGAGGGACATCTGTAACATTTGAAAATCAGCTGACAATGGCGCCCCCCTAACCTCATATTCAAGTCGCTAGCATCCTAAATGTTGACCGCACACTACTACTACTAAGTGAGCATGAAAGGCATCACTCTTGGCCCTCTCCAGTTAATCTCTATTACACGCTCCTTGTACGACGGCGACAGCGGTTGCTCCTGAGCGTCCGTCACGGCAGCGTCAGTCATCATCGCGACTTCGTTAGGCCGCTTAGCCATTGTCATCTCGTCGACGCCACGTAATTGCAATCTGCTCGTTGAAAGGAGGCCGTAATGCCATTTAAGGGCCTCCAACATTTTGCGCAGGGGAAGGAAATGAGAGTGAGCGCTTTTTTTTTGCAAGCCGCAATCAAGACTCCGAGCGCCACTTCAAAGAGATGTACGGCATCCGGCCGGCACTTAATTACACGTCGCGCTCAAAACGACATTGAGCAAACATCATCCAGCTATGCTAATCCTTCTTGAAAAACGATTGTTTAACCACATGCTCATTATCGTTTAAAACACTCCTCCTGTCACATGTGGAGTGGATCGACAGGTCTCGTTTTTATGATGGACTTAAACGTTGTTTTTTTAAGGAAATTTGAAAAAGAGCAAGTAACTGTTGTTAACTTTTACAAATAAAGTGGCACATTGTCTGACACATTTCATATTTGTCCAGGGTTGAATATCTTAACTCGAAACCGCACGCCTAATTTTGCCGCCGTTGAAATTAATTGAGACGCCATTGATATGTTTTTGTTTAATCAAGAAAAATAGAAGTATATTGCATGAACACATAATGAAAGAGAAGGTTGAGAAATGACGTGGTTTCATGAAGCGGAATTACTGTGCATGCTTTTATATTGGTGTGATGGATGTGTGCTTTTAATGGCTATGGCTTTGCGAAATTGTATCAACGCACAAAAAAAGGGCTAATCTTACGTCATTGTCATGATTGCTCCATATTAGAAACGTCAGAACAGCGCATCCCATATGTTCTCGTCAAACAAGAGTACAAAAAAAAAAAACAAGCTGGACTGGGCTCCACAAATAAGTCGTTGGCCATCAAACATGGCTGCACACAACATTGTGTGTCGAGTGACCACACGTCAGAGTCGACTGACGCTAATCGTTTTTTAACCCTTACAACCCTGTAACCTGATAACATGAGAAGCCGTCCGCTGTGGTAACCGTTGTCCCCGAAAGGGTTCAAGGTGCCGTCTCCACATCACGTGAGAGATAGCGTGGAACTCATGAGTTGCATCGTTGCCCAGAACACACACACGGACTTGACGCAACACTGTGGAACCACCACATGTCAAAAGTCTCCGAAAACGCTCAGCGTCACTATAGACGCCGTCTCGACATGACGTAAAATCAGAGGCAGCCCTGAGCAGAATTAAGCAGTTGTGTCACTCATTCAGAACATAAGCTTGGATGCGCACAACGTTGTGGCATGACCAGATGTCAAGTTGACTGAAACTCATTGGTCGCTAGCTATGTAGAGCTAGCTAGCTATGCTAGCTCTACATTATTTAAGAAGAAGAAACCGTCGCCTCATAATAAGACATTTGAGGCAGTCTGAGCAGAACTAATTTTTTTTTTTAATCTCATTCAGAAGATAAACACTGACACACACAACATTGTGAAGCGACCTGATGTCACAGTCCAATGAAACTCTTTTTGCCGCTACATATGCCATCGCTAAATAGCGTAAGATCCAAGGTAGACAGGGTGGAATATTATCGTCACATAAACATGGATGCACACAACATTGTGCAGTTGTTATAGAGTCCACAGGAATGCCAACTGGTTTTAAAGATGACGTTTTGACATAATTGAAGGCCAGGGAACTCATTTAAGACTGGTGGTAAGACTTCACACTCATCCGAGAGACTCTGCATTCTTGGCTCGGTCCTGATGTTTTGGTTAGCAACCGAGTTCAAAAGACTCCCGCCTCTCAACTTTTGCTCAAAATCCATTCAGAAATTTCAAGGAAAAAAATAATTAAAATGTGACAATCGAGTCCGGCTATCAATCAAAGCCTTTGAAACCAAAGAGCCCCCCCCTCCCCCACCTCCCGCCTCCCCATCAGCAGGACGCATATTAGCGCCCGAAATCCAACACTTGTCTGTCCGCAATCCAAAGCGGCCACTCGGTGACCCAACGCTGACACCGTTCATGGGCCGCCGTGGCCAGCCGTCATAAATATTCTTAAACGGGAGGATTAGCCATATGGCGGGATCACTCCATTGTCCAGCCTCTGCCATCTGTACTTTTGCTGTGGACCGATTTGCCAGGCTAACGCCAGCTTGTGTTACCGGCAGACTCCTGATATCATCTTTATTACTAGCGTGGGGGGCAGGGGGAGGGCGGCCCGGGGGGGGTGTCCATTAAAAAAGGTGCACAGTAGAGGTCCCCGCGGTGAGAGTTTGCTGGAACCGTGCCCGCTGGCCCCGTTTTTCTCCACACACCCTCAGCGTGAATGCCGCTATTGAGCAAGCAGCGCTCGCGTTGCGCACGGGCGGCTTTGCTAAACAAGCAAGTAATCAGAAAAAGAGACTCACACAACTAAGAGGCTTGAACAACTCCGACACGCCCTCTTCTCACTTGCGGACGACTTGAAAATTCCTGAACATCACCTGAAAAGACACGAGAAAACTTTTGATTTGTGGATTCACTCAATTGTATCCGTGAGGAGGCACAAACCAGTATACAGAGAAACACCGTTTAGTGCGGTGATACATTCCAGACCGCAATTTGAGCGAAAATCCACCTTCTCGATATACTCAGAGACCAAATAAGATTTTTTTTTTTCCCCCATAGTTTTTCATGCTTGTTAAAACTTGTTCAAACACACGTTTTAAACACATGGTTTAAAAAAAAAACCTGCAAGACTAACTTTAAAAAAAATATACAGATGGTAGAGTCTGCGTATGTGCACACGCCTTTAAGTCTTTCAATGCCAGCTATTTAAAAAAAAATAAAATAAAAAAGAACTTTTTGAGTGCCAGCCCATTTAGAGCATTCTGACTGATCTTTCAAGGCTCACAGAATATTGGGTTTTATGACTAAGTACACACAGAAACAAACAAATGAAAGCTTAGACTCTCTGCTTTCATGAAAAAAAAAAAAAAGTTGTCTCTACTCTATGTCATGTTTTAGCGGTCGAACGTTTCTTATTTTGGACCACAAAAAATGTCAGAAAGCGAGCTTTTTTGTGAAAAGGTATATTTTATGCATAGTGACTTTCATGTTCATGTTTTTTTTTTGTTTTGTTTTAGTGACACCTCAAACATCTCAATACTTTTCTTCAGTAAAATACCAATTTGATGGCAAAATAATGTCTTCATCAAACATTTTTGCACGCTATTTAGTAGCAGTAGTAGTATTTAGCAGCGTGTGCATGCTTGAGTCACATGCATGGGTGTGTGTCTATGTCTGTACTTTACATCGCTGCTTTGACTTCTCAACTGAAATAATCTCCATCATTCTTTTCTCTCTTGAGATAGATGGATAGATAGAAAGATAAAGACTTGCCTAGAGAATAAAGTGCAAGTGTAAATCAACACACACACACACACACACACACACACGGAGTGTACACCAGCTTTGATTCTACAATGTGAGGCTAATTGAGAACAATGAAGAAGTCAAAAGAGCGATCAGCGCATCTGTGATCTTTTATTCATGTCAACCAAATGATTCTCTCTCTCAGAGGCGCCGCATGGTACGTACGATCGGTCGCTAACAAGTTCTTCTCGTGATGATAGCAAGTCGTTAAAATGAAACAAACAAACAAAAAAAAAAAAACAAAGATTTACATGCCGAAAATGTTTGTTTGGGTTTTTTTTTTTTTTATTTTACTTCGGCCAGCCGACCTGTCTGAACATGTTCCAAAACGGCAGCAGAACTGGTTTAGCATGCTGCGTAATATCTGCAGACCAGACTCGGTACACCTCACGAGACTTCAGTTCAGTGAGCCCCAAAGGATTATTTATGAGTTCACGTTCCTTGAAGTACCAGCTGTACTGTTTACTCCCACCTCAAAAGACCCAGAGATTACGCCTCTGTATTTGCCTTTTTTTTAACGTTGTCGTCAATCATGGAGGTTGCAAAAAGTAACCTGTCACGTAGCGAGGTGGTGGTGGACCCCAAAAAGCAGGCAGGAGGGAGGAGCAGGGTGTACTTGAAAGATTGTATTAAAACTCAGAGAAAACGAAATCCAAAACCAACAAAGTCCAAAGTATCAAACAAAACACATGACTGAAGATAAAACATAACTCTGACCAAAACATGACTGAAACAAACATGACAGTAGCACAAAGCAACAATGACCCGACAATGATTGCTCGGGCTGGGAGTCCTTTTAAAGCCACTAATTACCTAATGACCAACAGGTGTGCAGCTGCAGGGGAGCCCTACAGTGCCACCTGTTGGTCCCAAACCGAATCATGACATAACCAGTCTCGTCTTAAAAGGGTATTGAGTAAAATTTTGTTTTCCGTTATTCAAAGTAGGAAGTAAATGTAAAAGGTTGCCTGAGTAACTTGATAACACACAGCCATTAATGTTTAAAGTGTGTACACCCCAAAGGGCAAAAAAAAAAAAAAAATCCATATTGGCCAAATCAGCCTCGCCGGTGTCATGTGACTCACGGGGCCACACTGTCCACTGGAGGTTCAAAGCAGTACATCATGGAAACCAACTCTGAGCATCTAAAAAGCAGAAATCTTGCGCCAGGAAGATTGCCAAAACCCTGAAACTGAGCTTCGGCACAGTAGCCAAGATCAAATTGCTTTTTGAAAAGAACAGCTTCCGAACAAGAGACGATATAATAAAATACGGACAAATATCAGGACATGACACATTTGAAGGATCCTCTTAAGCAGGGGTGCCCACGCTTTTCAGACCAAAGATCTACTTTTTGATCAACCAACCTCCCGCGATCGACCCGTTCCTGCGCACACGCACACGCACTTACACACACGCCATGACATGATGAGCAACAGCCACAACGATGAACGAAAACATCAAAATAAAGTCGACAGTTTCTGACTTTGTTCAAAGGAAATCACTGCCTACCTTCGTGGGAGACCTGACGCGGAGGTATGCAACGCACTTTTGCAGCCTATTACCTATCGTAGCTCACGCGTCCCGTTTTCAAATGCTTCTCTCGGCCCCCCCCCAGATTGCCATTCTTTGCGAGTGCCGTGGGTGAATTGTACACGAAACGAACTTTGACTGATGATAAAAATCATAACAATAATAATAATAATAATAATAAAAATAATAAACTATATTGCAACAGCTCTGATCGCAAGCTTCAATTGCAGACTGCTGAGCGCAAACAACTTCCGGTGACGTAGGCCACCCGCCACCGTAAGTTAAAGGTGACCTACCTGCTTTATTTTATTTTTATTTTTTTTAATACTTTTTGTGAAAGTGAGACTGATAGGATGATTAGGGTGCAGTGTGCATTAACACAAAAAATACATTACGAACATGCACTTTTTATTTTTTTCACTATAAACCCCTCGCTATCGTATTGGGACCAGTCCGCGAGCTGCCGGTCGATCGGGATCGACGTAACGTGAACCCCTGCTTTTAAGTAAAGTACGCCCACCCCTGTTTTGAGGTGAGCGGCTCAATCTATCCAAGTTAATCAGGATGTTGTCCGCATAACAGTCCTATCAGATCGACAGCATTCTGAAAATGACGCCTGCACCTGCGCCGCGAATACACACACGCCTTGACACGGGCAAACAAATGCTGCCTTCGCCGCAGCTGTCAGCGCCACTTGCGCGGACTCGCGACGCCAACAAACAATGGCCGCCGTCTCTTCCATAGTGTCGCCGCTTGCGCTTCGCCACGGCAGGAAGCGCGAGCGGGGCTCCCGCTAATCACACGGCCAATTAAATGATTATGAGCTGCAGTTGACCCATAAACGATCTCTCTCTCTCTCTCTCTCTTGCTGTATTACTGTGTCTGTTTGTGGTTGATCTAAAGTGGTGAGTGTGCGTATTCCCGAGGGATCTCTCATCATGCTTCAAAATGAGATAACTGCAAAGAATTTAGCACAGGTTAGCATGTTACTCAAATGTACGTAGAATTAAACCATTGATTGTATGTCTATTTTTCAGCCTTGAGGACCACCATACTTTATACTCACAATTGTCGGCGGCGCATGTAATTTTGGATTAAAATTACAGAGAAGGCCAGGGGCAGTTTTGGACTTTTATTCTGTTATTTGGCAGGTTTCACTTTTAATTGTCACGTGGCACTGTCAATTCAGAAGTACACAAAGTTAAATAAACTATATTTGCATCCCCCCCCCATTATTATTTTTTTTTATCTTCAGAGGTATACTGTACGATCACAGTGACATTGCCGCAGGCTGAAATCAGTTTTGTGATGTGCATTGGTACAGCAAACTCATGTTTGATCGTGGCATTGCATAGCTTTCCAATATTCACACTTTTTGACCCTCAGAGGGCACCGTACTTCATCTTAAATCGCACTCACCGGCTGTAATTTCAGATTAAATCTCTCAAGAACGGAGCCAAGCAGCATAACGAGCAGAGTGGTTCCTCAGGTTTTCCCTGTGATGTATCCTACATGTTTTCTCTTGCGATTCCAACACCTGGTAAACCGGATGACTACCGCAGAGCAGTTGCGAAAAGTAAGATTAACAATTTAATTTAAAAAAAAAAGTATGAGCCAATGTCATGACAATGACGAACATGTATTCACTTGAAGGCTGACAAAGACAGATGGTGGTTAATTGCGGAAAAGGGACCGGCTCATCTAATTGTTCACATTGTTGGCCAAGTGCCAATGTTGATTTTCGGGTTGGGCCAGAAGCGCTCCCTCCTTGATCGCTATTTCAGGTTTAGGGTTGGGGTGAGCGATTGCAGGTTAGCTTTAGGTTTGATTCTGCTGGAAGCAAACTCGGGAACGATTGGAGTCGGAGGTTCAGGTTGAGTTTGTTTGGATGAGGTGTCGGGTTGAGGACGAATCCAATGGAAGCACACTTGGGAAGGGTTCGGGGAAGGGGTAGTGTTTCGAGGTTGTGTTTTTGGGGGTATCGGGGAGAGGGCTGAGAGGTTAGCTTTAAGATTTAGATGTTGGAAGTTAGGTTTAGGGTTTGGAGTTTGAGCGAGGGTTAGTTAGGCGTCATCAAGTGGAAAATCTGGGTGGTTTGTCGTTTCACATGGAAAATTGGACCGGTACAGTCCTACCTGACAGACCATAATCCGTTCCAGAAGTCTGTTCGAAAACCGATTTGTTCGAAAACCGAAACCACGCTCTTTAAAAAAATAAAAATAAAAAATCTTTATTGAACACGTCTGCTCACAATGGAACGCGACATGAGGAAGCGTCACTTCCTCGTGTAAGGAAGGCGAGAGGAGTCAAGTGGTGCATTCAAGTGCGCTCAGTTTGGTTGAGAACCGATTTTCGGTCGTCATCCGAGGCATAAAAAACTCGAAAGTTTTGGTCGAAAACCGATTTGGTCGAGAACAGAGATGTTCGAAAACCGAGGTTTGACTGTACTTGGGGTCTCGGTAAGAGTTTTGACATCGCTGGTTGAATGAATTCCCGGAATGGAGCGTCCGTCACCTTCTGGGATTTGCCACCTCCA